AACTGAGTCAGAGGAAACGACTGAAAGTAAGTATTCCAACCAGAGCCTTACAATGGCAAACTGCCTGCGTAGTTAAACAAGCCGGTGCAGGAAGGGGAGATTATGCAAATCCTCCTGTTCGCAAACGCAGCCCATCAGCCTGCTTTACTGGGCCTTAACAGAAATCTAACATTTAGGATTTTAAGTGACAGGCACCTGAGTGGTGACTAAGAAAAAAAAAAACTCAACGGCGTGGGCGGGGGTGGTTGCTGACCCAACCTTTCTACACACTCCTGCTGTTGTACATCAAATGCCAGGAAAGAGAACACATGTGAGAAGCAGTTTCAGGAAAGGGGTGAGCAGCAGCGGTGGCGTCCCACATGGCCACTGCCACCCGCAGCACTCGGGGTCCAGCTAAAGACAACAGGCGCCTGCCCAGGAGGCGCTTCTATCTCAGGACACAGGTTGTTGCTGTGGGGTTCTGCCTGGCACAGAAGGGGCTGGGGGACAGGGTGGGGGTCACACTGGCTGGTGGCTTCCTGCCCGCTGGAGGACAATCAGAGAGCGCTTTCCAGGAGGCGGCTCCTCTTGTCCCCTTCCACCTCTGTGGAGAGGAAGGCAGTTTAGGTTTACAAAAAGTCTCAGGCACAACTTTCGGGAAAAGAGGGAAATGAGACCCCTGGCACCCCTGCTGAGTCATAGACAGGCAGGGACAAGCTCAGCCTGGGGGTGCCTGGGTTTTCCTGCCAGCCACTCCCATGAGGAGCCCAGGGTAAAATGAGAATGGGGAAACCTGAATTGGACACTTTATAGGGCAATGGAGAAACCACTAAATATTTAACAAGGGGAAAGCGTCTTTAAGGAGACCCAAGAGATCGTCTTCATCCCTACTTTGCCCAGATTTGTCTGTGAATTTCATTTTCTTGCTGTGAATAAATGAATTTTATCTAGATGAGGCCTTCAGAGGCCTCAGTAGGATAGAAGGGGCACCATCCACTCCTCACAGAGCCCAGTTCCTCTCTTCTGTGCCCTGGAAAGGGGACCTCACAGGGAAAGAAAATTAGAGTTGAAACGAGCATTACTTTTCTTGCAAATGCCAGTATTTTTGATACCTAGTGACTTAGTAGAAACGATCGAAACTTCTCAGATAAAATGAAGGCGAGCTCAGAGTAGCAGCTGACCCAGGGCGGAGCAAGGACAGCGGTGGGGGTTGAGCGGGTGGCGGTGAACGAGTTGCGGGCTTTTCTCCCCCTCCCGCCACGGCCTCGACATGCCACCTGTGGTCTCACAGCCTCCGGGGCTGCATGGATGACGGGCCAAAGGGCGGGGTGCACACCTGTCATTGTGGATGCCTGTGCCTAGAAGGGAGGGATAAAGGCAGCAATGGGGTCACAGGGAGGCCCATTCTGGGGGCGCCCACGACGATGATGCTGGAGAGAGGGAGAAGAGCGCGGACATGCATGGAGGCTAGGAGCCTCGGCCAGCCTAGCATGCCAGCCTCTCTGCCCGGTGCGCCTGTGTGCCTGGCTCCCCAAGAGAACATTAAGTGCCGGCAAAACCCACGGAGGGCTCCGGACTCCCCTTCCCGTCTGCCAAGCGCACCGTGGCCCTGCCCATGGCTGCCTGCGCTGCAGTGAGCCCGCATGTTGCGTCGGGACGGGGTAGGGGGCAAGAGCGAGGCCGGGAGCACCTGCGCTAGAATGTGACCCTCTAGTAACACGGCGGTGGCTGCTGTATCCAATTTCAACGTTCCCTACACCTTGAAATATTTTATATAAGTAAACCAACTCTTTAGCAGGAATGTGAAGACTCACCAGATATAAGATTGAAAAACGAAATGGGGTTCTTTCTCCCTGGTCATGTGGAGCACATGGGGCACCAGGTGCCCCGCAGCCCAGGTGCTAGAAATAATCTCGACAAGGTGGGAGAGGCCTGGTCTGCGTGGCCTATCCAAGAGAGGGTTTCAGCACGAGACAAAATCCCAGGAGAGAATGGGGGCTCTGGGGAGCCTGCCCGCATTCGGTGATGTGACTCAGAGGAGCATGTTGGGCAACAGGGCAACCCAGGAGGGGTACATGTTCACTAGCTCCACAGAGCAGTCTGGGGTCTTGGGTCTGCAGCACCCCAGCACAGCCAGTCCCCGTGGCGCTCAGGGTGACCCTGCCGCAGAGACAGCTTGGGCCCCTCCCCCACCACGGCTGGGGAGGGAGGAAGGAGAAGAGGAAGAGGCTGTGGGGAGGACAAGGCAGGGCCCCTAACATCTTCCTGTTCGCCTCAACAAATGCACTCGAGTCTCAGAAACACTACTGCTTTCCACCAAATGTCAAAGTCTCTCGCTAGAGCTCCTGAAGGATTCTGGGGTGAATGGGGGTGCTCTCCAGCCAGCCTGCCCCAGGAGAGGGTGAGGGGTCACAGGGGGTCTGCAGCTTCCCAGCCTGGAAGACACGCCTCCACTTTCACTTTCTCTTCTGCCACAGCTCACAGCCAGAGGCAGCAGAACCTGTCCTCTCAGCTATCGTGGACTGTGTAGTCCAGGGTTTCCCTGCTCCTCCCTCGCTTTCCCCTCACTGCCCAGGCACACCTGCTCACGGGTTCTGGAAGACATTGTGACGATCTTGAAAATAAGAAGTAACCATCAATAATCACGAAAAGGTACCTATCTTTGCAAAATACTATACTTGGCGATTCCACAGTCTGGTGCCTCAGCTTTTTAGAGAAGAGTGCACAGAGGAGAAGGTTAGGTGTCCTGGACACTGCCTAGAGGCCAGAAATTTTCAAGCGGGTGATTTGCAGCTGGGGGCATGTGGCCATGTGTAGGGACATTCTGGCCGTCACAGTTGTGGGGTTGACCTCTACTGGGTGGGGACCAGGGAATCCCCAACGAACTGTGACATGCTGGAAAGGTTTTCTGGACCCAGGTCTCCTTGGTGCGGGTTTGAGGGTCTCCCTGGCAGGGAGCTGCTATCCCAGACCAGATGCACAGTCAGGAACATGCTCTTGTTAGGGACACAGGGAGAGCGAGACCTTTTTCTGTCCAAATTTTACAGAAAAAAGGGATGGAAAAACTTTGGAAGCTGACAAACTTGCCCTCAACTACCCTCTGTGAACAGGCCTCTTACAGTGGCTGGGACAGCGGAAGGCGGGCTGGGAGCACTCAGCAACGAAGGCGTCACAGGCACCGGGGCGGTGACAGAGCCAAGGCCAGGCCGTCACAGTGACCCACTGCACACACTTGCTTGCAGACCTCACACCCGTTCGTTGTTTGTAAGTCTGCACGTCCCACTTAGGATTAAACTCCTTGATACAGAAACTAGGACTTGAGAGGAACGTCTAATGTCTCTTAGGCTGTTTCATTTCTCAACTCTTCTGCACAAACAAGGGAGTCGTTCCTCTAAGGAGGTGTGTGAAGACTGAGTGTAAAGGGATATATTAAATTTTTTATTAGGCAGTAAATTCACGACAGAGTTAAAGCCATGTGTTGCTATCAGGAATTTTCACTTAGCCACAAAAGTCAAAGCGATAGAAGGAAACATTTCATGAAAATACCAAAATTTGTTTCTCATATTTAACCAGTCCCGAAAAAATCCTCCCAGTTTCCCCCTTAATGTGAATCCTGCCGTCCCTGTCACTGGCGTGAGGCTGGTAACACACACACACTCACGCAGAGGACACCCAGAAGGAGGTCAAGGGTCATGGACGTGATGCCCTGAAGCCAGGTGGGCTCTGCCTGCTCCCTAAGCATACTGGACGTGTGACTCTCTGCCTGCTCACCGCAGTCCTCCCCTGTGCCTGCCCCAGCACCCCAGGTGGACAGGGGCCACGTTGCGGCTCACCGGGCAGCAGTGGACATAGGTTAAGGACCCCACATTCTATATGTGGGGCTGAGCCTGGGGTCCTCACAGGCTTTACTGTGGGAGGAGGCTTAGGGGAGACGTCGGGGGCACTTGACAAGTCTCTGGAGCTTAACAGATGCTCACCCACTTCTTCACTGAGCTCTCTCCTTGTCCAGACCCCGGGGCTCGAGCCATGGGTGCTGCAGCCCTTACAGGGGGCCCCACCTGGGATACAGGAGTCGCTCCACACCCTGCACCCTGCTACTGTGGGGACATCTCACCCCAGAGCTAAGGAGCACATCACAGAACAGAGTCTGGTTTGGAACAGGGGGAAGAATTAGAAAGGCCTGGGCCCAGAAGAGCTGAGCAGCGAGAAGAGACAGGACACCTGTCCTGGAGGAATCCTTGGCCACTTGCTGCCCACACCATTGACAGAAACAGACGCGGGGCCTGAGGCGCCTGCCCTGAGGGCCCCACACCCTGCTGGGAGCTGAGCTGATGCTCCATTGCCAAAGCCTTGAACTACTGGGCTGAAATGAATTTTTACAAAGGACTAAACACACTGCCAACTGTTTTGTGTATTACACAATCAATCAGCCTAGAAGATGAGACCATGTACTACAAAAATGAAGAACGCAAGTTAACGTAAAGAAACTCATTCTCAAGCAGCAAACAGAAAAGGGCCTGAAATGTGAAAAAGGCTGGACCAGACGCAGGGCTCAGAGGCCCCAGATGCCCCCCCGGCAGGGGGCCAAACACACAATGCCCTGAGTCCCCGGAGACCCTGCCTTTCACATGTCAGGGTCCTGAGGCGCGGGATGCCCCATCGAGGAGTCTGGGTCTGAAGCCACCCCTCAGAGGCCCCACACTCAGAGCTCTGGCTCCTGTGTCCTAAGCCTCTGGAGCTGAGATCACACACTTGTTTCAAAGTCTTAAATATTCAGAAGTAAACAATTAAGAAAAAAAACATCTTTAAGATGACCAAGGCAGTACAGTTGGCTAATGTTGAAATAATTTCTACTAAATGGAGATACTATGTTTTCAAATCCGTGCCTTCTTATTTCTATTTAAACATTATAAACACCACGTGAAAGCTTCAGCTCTGGGGTAACGGCAAACGAAATTGCTTTGAAGCTGCCCCTTGCTCCTCCGCTCTCAAGCTAACACGCGGGCACGCCAGGAACCTACTTTGACTTGAGGGTAGGACTTCTTGTTCTTTTCACTGGAGGCGCCGGGGAGTCCACCGTGCGATGGGCCTTCACACACATAACGGAAACGGAATCCTCTCTGCAAAGGGGAACAGAGGACCAGCATGTCTGAGAAACACTAAAACCTGCACGGACATAGTTACACACACCCTGGAAACGCTCATGTGTGCTGGGTGGGAGGAACAGCTCACAGTCACTGAGGCCCCAAGTGAGGACACTTTCCCTCAGTCCCCCTTGTCTTAGCATTATGCCAGCTGACGCCGTGCAGGGAGGTGCAGCTTTCGGCCCTGCGCGACCTCAGCCACATCACCTGTGAGTGGGGCTGGGGCTCAGGTGGTGGACCAGACGTGCTCTAGCGAGCAGAGACTCAGCTTCTTGTCTCAAATTCCTGCTACAACGCTCTGAACTTGACCATGATACTCAGCGTCATGCTTCTTTGGCTCTCACTTAAAGGAATTCCTTCATCTGCTCTGACCAGTGGGTACAGAAGGGAATATGGAACCATCAGCATTTCAAGATGCAGCTATGCTGGAACCCACATATGGCTGGCTGCTCTCCACAGTTCAGAAGATAAGATCTTTGATTATATGACTAGTGATATTGCCAAGCTTGGCTGGCGATATTAACTGAATGAGCCCCAAACCAGATGGCCCCTTTAAATATTGTTTCTCAAGAACCCTGCAGATGCACTAAGTCAAAGAGGACTTAGCTGGAGGTCTCGTGAGAGCCGCTGTGGGCTGATAAACACCTAAATGCCATGTCCGTAAGCACAGACATGACCGCAGCTGACTGGACTCTCTTTACAGTCTACGCTAGTCCTGGCTTTTCATGATGGACAAAGTTAAAAATTACAAGTGGACATATAAAACAAGGACAGCTGTGAGGAAGGGCCTCATCACCTCATCACAAGGGGCCGTAGGTGGACGTCCTGACAGTGTCAGCCAGCTGTGGAGCCTGAGTATAATCACACAGGTCACCTAACCAGGCACTTTTATTCATGTTTCTAACTCACCCTCTGGTGAAAAGAATGGGCGAGGTGCCGCAGGGAACGTGCCCTCCTCTTTTACTTGTAACTGTGGGACCCCATGCTCACAGCTGCGGAGCAGGATGACCAGGCTCCTGGGCCCACCCTGCCTGTGCTCCCTTTCCCGCGTCTCACAGGGTCTCAGTGGCCTTGGGTCACATGTCCCCCCAAGCACCTGGAACTGTCCCCACAGTTCCAAGAACTCTCTGATTTCCAAAAGGGTCAGCTCCAGGGCAGGTTTTGTGGGTTGAGCACAGCCTGAAGTCAGCAGGTGCCCACGGGGTGTGCGCGGGGCCTGCAGCATGTGGCCCATCACCGAAGTGGGGCCTGAAACACGCTGCACACAAGCCCAGGGTTCAGAACCAGATCCAGGAGCGCCTGAGGGGAGTCAGGAGTCATGTAGGGCAATTCTCTATTCTCCTCCTCACAAAATTCAAAATACAAACTACGTCACAAATTCAGCCCCCTACCTTTTGTAGACAAAGGCTATTTGCTTATTTTCAATAATTACGTGAAATTTCTAACAGTGCGAGCAGCGAGGAGCCCAGCAGTGGCTAACCAGAAAGGCAGAGGCTGACTTAATGGCTTTCAAGTCAAGCACAAAGTCAGCGCTTCACCAGCGCTACATGGTGAACACGGAATAAGAATAAACAGAACTGGATACTCTAAAGATTACTAAACCAGCTGTGACTCATCCCCACACAGCTGGGGAGCACCGTGGCCAGGAGACCCTGAAGAAAAAAGAATGTTTTCTAGTTGTCATTTCTAAAAAATTAGTGAAGCAAACCTTTATCTCTAATCAAAAAATTCCTTTTCGACAGTTGACAAAATATATCCATGCAGACTTCCCCATCTCACTGGGAATGGTGTCCAGGAGAACACAGTGAAGAGATGTGTCTAAAAGGTTGCTTTGAGTTTATTGGTCAAGGTTCCGTGAGAGTTTCTAAAGTTCAATGCAAAGGAATTTTTACCCGGAGAATGGAAATTTATTATTATTTTAGGAAGGTAGGATGTTTTCAAGTGCATAGTTTGGATGGGTTTTTGTTCTGAATTTTTGAGATGAAAGGTTTGCCAGTCCTCAGATACTCATCTCAGTAACTCCATCTGCTTAAAATGAGTCATCAACCTCAAAGGCTAAGGCATGGGTCAGAAAGTCTGACTTACACACAACCCTCTTACTTTCACTCAAGTTGCACACCAAAGTAACGTCAGGTGGCAGACAAATACACTTTCTATCAGGTGAGTTTTCAAGACCTCCACTTGTAGTGACCTAAATATGAATTGATGCTATGCAGCCCTCGGGTAACTCACAGGTGGCCTTGTGGCACCTGGACCGTGCAGGAGACACGCACTGAGCAGCTGTGACTGCAGCACGGCCTTGACGCTGGGTGTTGAGATGCATGTTGTATCCAGGATGCAGATTTTAGCTGATTTCTCAGTTTGTGGAAGGCCCACATGTTACACATTAGAAAAGCATCCACGACGCCAGGCAGCTGTGTGGACGTCTAGGGGTGTCCCTCCGCCGGGAGGGCCTGGGGAGAAGTGACGGCCCAGGAAGGCTCTGCCTCTGGGAGGTCACCCGGGGCCGTGCTGTGAGCCACTCGTGAGTCACCAGAACAATCCCCTCAAGGCTCGCGGGGCACTTTCGTTCCCCCATCAAAAACTGTTATCTTATTTCAGACTCATAAGGGTAGTTTGTTTGGTCATAGCTGTGTCATCTACAGCCTTCAGATGCTGGCCAAACCCAACATGTACATAACGCCTTGGCTATAGTGCCCACAGTGGTGTCTTGACATAGCTCTAGACACAGTTGCATTTGTTAAGTGTCACAGTGTCAGTGTCACGCTCCCTCAGACAGCCACTAAGAAGCACATTCGGCAAAGGTACCAGGTACTGTGACTGCAAGAAGCAAACCAGCTCCCTCCTCATCATGCAAACGTGGTCAGCACGCCAGTCGGAACTGTGCGGACATTGTCCTCATTCAGCGGAGGACTACACCACAACCTCCACTCCTGATGACGGAGTCCCCTACGGGCAAATGATTCACACTCTTGTTCCCCTCTTTTGGACACCATCCCATCTGATTTTCAATCATCTCCCTCCACAGAGCTGGGGCAGGAGGGGGGCCGCTGCAAGTCCAGGCACTGCGAGAGCATCCTGTGGTGTGGGGCCGAGCCTGAGCCAGGGCCAGCTTCCCTCCTGGCTTCAGCAAGGCCGGCTCTCAAGTTAACACCAGAGGGAAGAGAACTCCAGAGTCCCTTTGCTTCTTTTATTCCCACCAGCACTTTTAGAATCTCAGGTTACAGGTGTAAAGTCGGGGCACAGAAGGCTGGTGCCCCCAGGGAAGGAGATGGGCTGTGTACCCTGTGAGTGGGCAGACACATCTATGGGTGGACCCCGTGTCGCTGCTGGCTTATACATCAAAGTGGGCAGGGCAAACCCCCGCCCTTCCTGGGGGAATCAGAGAAGCTTGCTGCTGACACCGCAGGATACTAAGCATCTATAACTAACTGAAGTTCTCCACAACCATTTCTGTGGCTCAAGGGAGTTTGTTGAATGACAAACAGAAATGTCAGGTGGGCAAATAAAGTTGTTACATAATTTGGCAGGTTGTCAATGTTCTAGATAAGCTACTTCCTATTCATCAGTTTCTGTGGTACTTGAGATATTACTGTGTGACAGATGGATCTAACATTTAACAAGCAAATCCCACCCCTTGAACCTTCTTACCTGTTTAGGTTGCTCTAATATTTGAAGGTATGGGCCATCTGCTAAAAACAACAAACAAAAACCAAAAAAAAACTGTGAGGCTTCTCAAATTTGGTATCAGATATAAAGCAAGTAAAAAGAAATATGAAATTCAGTTTTCAAATAGAGATTTCAAATTTACGTTTTAGCTAATATTCCACAAAGTGTAGTTTATCTTCCTCGCTTGAACATGAATTGTCTCCTTACTTGAGCCGTGGTTTCACACCTTCAGACAACACAAGGCATCAGTGTGGGGGTGGGGGTGGGCATGCCAGGCCTCCTGCAGAGGGCCACTGTGGGGCAGGGTTCAGAAGGCACGGGCCTGCAGGGCCATGTCTGCAAACAAAGCGTCTTAAAAACACAACCGTAGCTTTAAGGCAGCACCCACTTCCTGGGCACGGTGACTTGTTCTTTGGCCTTCAATAGACACTGACTTCCATATCAAAAGGAGGCACCTAGTGTGGCAGTGTGAGAGACTGGGCAGTGCTGCAGGCACTTCTGGGGCTGTCCTGGAGCCCAGTGCGGGTGCCTTTCCTCACTTGGGTCCGCACGGACCGCCTACATTCCCAACAGCTAGTTCCTCTGTTCCCAAAGGTAATTGTACTAGCAGATACATAGCCTTCATTTTAATTAATCCATAGCACTTGATGTTGGTATATAATTTTTGAACACCATGCTCGCATAAACTGTTCAAAAGTAACACAAGCATTGTATAAAATCCTGAAAATAATTTAATTGAATTATATGTCAATCAAACTATTATAAATGCATAAAGAAAACTGGAAGCTTATTCCATACCACAACTATATCTGACTTTGGAACTGCAAAGGAAAATCAGAACCTGTAATACAAATTTGTTTAGTATGAAAAAGTCCCCAAGCTCCCCAGCTGGTATGTATGTCAACAGCGTCACAACCCTGAGCTCTGTGACAAATAAAGGCATATGGTGTTTCTCATGTTGGATACAAAAAAAGAGATTCTAAGAGCATCTTCTGTCTTTACTTTCTCCAGCCAGAAATTCTAGACCTATTCCCTTGGATGAATACATTTGTGAAAAAGAGCTTAATCTTCAGGTTGAAATTAAAAATGTACTATAACTTAAGGTTGTACTTAAGGCTGTACTTTATTTTTTTTTAAAGATTTTTTTATGCATACAAGAGCTCGGGTACAGGCCAGAGATGCAGGGGGTGAGAGGATTCATCAGAGACAGAGTGGGGAACAGAACAGGCAGATTGACCAAGTACACTGCTGAGGGGAGCAGCGGGCGAGTCAGGAGAGGTCTGATGTGCCATGTGGGTAGCTCGCTGGCCGGGGATCAAACTCGTGCTACAGAGACTGTGGACAGCTTCATCGGTTGCGTCCGAACACCTTGCGCCACCAGAGAGGCCCTAGGCCATACTTATTTTTAATCTTTTCCATATTATGATGAATCAGGATAAGGCTAGAGTGCACAATAATATAGTAAATTCTGTTTATAACTCAAGGACTTTACAAGGATGAAAAAATGACTGAATTTCAAGTGAAAAATGTACAAGAAAGAAAAAACAAGCAGAAATTGGCCAAAAGAATATAATTTAGTTAAAGTATATCCTCTTTGTCTGTGGAAAATTCATCCCTGGATATTTTAAACTTTTTAAGAAAGAAAATTGTAACTTAACCCCTCTCCCACAAAGGGCAAGAACTTAATGTTTGGTAAAAAAAAAAGAAAACTAAGCAGACACACAATTTTTTCACACCACACATAGTCTATATGGCAATGTAACGAACATGGGAATAAAACATTCCACCTGACATGCTAAGAGCTCATGAAGAAGAACAACATCTGACAGGCATGTTCATGTAGCAAGGAAAATGCTGGCAACACATTTACGTTAAATTTCAAGGTCCTTGTTTCCTTACAGCTCTTCTAGAAATGCTTTAAGTTTTGCTATTTTTGCTGCATGATTTAATTTCCTTTGAATGTGTGAGAAACTAAGGTTTGGGAATTTTTTTTAGTGGAATGGGGCCATTTGTCTCTTTTACGAGGCACACACAAAAGTTCTATCAACTAGAAAGATTTGAGATGTAGGTGTTTGTTTGAAAGCCGATTTTCTTTTGGTGACTGTTTCTCTCCTGCTATACAGAAGCATTTAAACTCTCGGGTAATGTTACCCTACACCTGACGGCTATGCCATTTACCACACTGCTTTCAATGGCAGCACTGCTAGTGGCTTTAGGCTTCAAGAAATGCAGGTGAAAGTCACTAGTTAATATGGGAACCTCTCTACCCTGTGAACTGTGAACAGAAAGTTCAGGGCTCTCAGATTATTAAAGCCAGACCATGCCAGAGTGACGAGACGGGACTCTTATTGATAAAGACAATGAGATAAGTACTCAGGCTTTGTTTTCAAAGTGCCACTAAATAAATAGAACTTAAGGCGGGGGGGGGGGGAGTATAAATGGAGAAGTACTCAGGCTTTGTTTTCAAAGTGCCACTAAATAAATAAAGACAATGAGATAATACCAACTGGAAGATACATTTTTGAGGCATGATTTTTAAGGTTTTTCTAATGTGGCAAAATAATTTCTACATGAAGTCCTGACCACAGACTGTTTGCTGATATGTCCTCCTGACAGCCTTATTTCTAGTTCCACAAACTGGATGAAATAAAAACGTGAAGAACAGTGTCTGCCTCAGACACTTTGCAGTTCGGCAGTAATGATACATTAAATGGAAAAGTGTGGATATTCTGAGGACAGAACCAATAAAGCATTAATACTAAGAAAAATACTTTGAACCCCAGAATAAAAAAGTTCACAGGAAACACAGAGGCTACAAAGATATGCCCTTGATGACAGGAAACCGACTTAGAGCGCAAATCGGACGACCCTTCGAGAGATGTCAGATACGGTGGCCTACAAACACGCCTGCAGGCCATGGAGAAGGTGCTGTGGCAACACAACCCGTCTCGTGAGGCTCGGGGTGGCGTGGGGGGTTACGTTTTCCCTCCACAGACAACCAGAAATAGAAAAATGCAGAAAAACATCCTGATCTAAAAAAAAACATTGTAAATACTAAACTTACAATAACCAATTTAAATTAAAATATGGCACGAGTGGCTAAAGTCTACCACGTGAAGACAAATGCATACGCTGCCTCTGAGCGTCCCTGATACCCAGGGTGACGTAAGGGGCACATCGAAGAGCCACCCCACCCCCAGGCTCACACACTCACAGGTGCCAAAGACACTACGTGAATGATTTTTTACATCACTCATATGAGATTAAACCATTTATGCAAGGGGGTAATCAATATAGTCACCATAAAAGAAGGTTTATTATGACTTTTACCCAAGTGGTCAGAATGCAAAGCTAAAAATATTTAACTTCTTTTTCACATCCACACATCTCTGCCTATTGCATCATTGTCTTAATCACACTTTAAAAAACACATGCGCCCCAGTTCCGCGTGCCTGCCTACGCAGAGTCCAAGCTCATCTTCTGTGTTTCGCTCCTAGTTAGCATGCGGGCTGCCCAGCTGAGCACTGAGCGTTTTTTGAAGGTTTTTCTAGTGGGGTGAGTTCTGTGGATTTTGTGTACTTGTTTTCCCACTGCCTGATACACTGGCTCGCACACAGTAGGTGCTCAAGTGAAGGTGTGGAGACTGCGTCGCATGTATCTGGGACAAAGCAGAGCAGAGGTAGAAAGGAGAGAGAACGACACTCAGACGCCAGTAGCTGGACAAGCCATGCATGCTGGGGGCACAATATTCTTGCACGAGCACAGCTGCAGCAAGTATGTTGAGAGATTGGTTTTTAACACATAAATAACCTTTCCTTTCCAGGTCAATCTCTGACTCTCCAGAAGGGACTATTAGCAAATCCTGAATTTTAAAAAGTGAAAGCAAAACAGCAGGGCAGCGGGGTGAGACATTTCCTTACCTGTCGGCAAAGCCATCTCTGGCTGAAATAATTCTGGGTTAAACATTGTATGATTCAATGATTCCAAATGAAACAACTGCAAAAAAAAAAAAAAAAAAAGAACATTGAAAGATTTCCATCACTATTTTTCCAAGGTTGTATTAAAAATTTGACATTGGAACACTTTCAACACAACTACAGGAACAAATGCTAAAGTCAACACCCAGAATCTGAAAATATTTCAACTCAGGATTTTAAACCCCCTTTGTCCCTTTGTGATAGTGAGCCACGTTCTCCTGTGTGTACAGCAGGACTGGGCTGGCGTGTGAGGACGACAACCCAGTTATAAAGGCCTTCAGGACCAGCTGAGCCAGCTTGCCTGTCTCCTCATGGCCAAGGGGATGTTTATCACATGGGGGAGATGGAATCAGTATTTGCTGAATGAATGATTTGAAGCGTGTACTCTTAGAAATACATGCATAAGAAACAATCCGAGAAATCAGTATTTCTTCTATGGTGGCAAAAGAACTTAAAAGTTTTCAGCAGAAAGAACTGGACAGCAGCTCCAGAATAATCTACAGGAAAACTGAAGACATGATGCACGGCCCCAGAGCGCTGTGCTCTTCCCTTCTCGCCTTTATTTGCCTGGCACGATACAAAGCATCTGGAATTAGTGGGTTCGCAGGCTCGCTCAGGTCACCCCCGTCCTGACCCCAGTGACGAGCAGGGAGCGGTTCTGCAGGTGTTCTTCAGAGGAAGATACAGGTGGGGAGGCTGCCCTGGAAAGAGGGCTCAGGATTCTGAGCAGCAGGAGATGTGACCGTGAAGAGCTGAGTGATGGGAGCCAAGGAATGTGGGCAGCCTAACAGGTCAGGAAGGCAAGGAAACGGAAGCTTCTACAAGGAAAGCAGTCCTGCCAACACCTTGACTTTCGACTCCTGACCTTCAGATTGCACGGAGATAAGCATGTGTCGTGGTGACCTACCAGGGCAGAGATGGAAGACTAACGCGTGGGCCCTACTACACCCGAAGGAATGCGATCCTGGCCTGTGAGGTACTGATGATTAATTATCCCAAGAGAAAATGTTTCTCTCCACTTGGTTCACTCGGGATTTTGGATCCCTCTGTGTGAGTTTGGTATTTGTTTCCACCTGCGTAGATCATCTGTATGAGATACCCGTGGGCAGCACAACATCCATCTTTCTCTTCACACGACACACTAGCTAGTTACAGGCGTGCCAAGGCTGTGTTAAAAAAGCCACAGTATTACAGCGCACACTTTTTCTTTATTGGCATGTAAGGGGGTTCCTGGATACCCAAGGCCCCGGTGCACTCAGATCAGGAGTAAGCAGCACAGGATCGCACTGTAGCTTCCATCTAGTTGGGTGTATAGATTCTCAAGTGAGGGGCAATAAAAGCGCCCACTCCCTGCTGAAGGGTAAAGTTCATCTACAGTGCTTGCTGTTTGCTGAAAAGGAAACAGGGATGAAAATGGATGAATGTGAGAACATCCCCCCTGCTTCCAGAGAACATTCTCAGGGCAGACCCTCCCCACAGGACAGCCTGCGTGCACAGGTCAGGGGCGAGGAGCCCAGGGCACGCAGACACACGGGGTCTTGAGGCACAAGCAGGTGTCGGGACACAAAGGCTACCAGCTTGAGATGAGAAGGAAGCCCAAACTTCAAGGACCTCGCCCCTCAAAAGGTAACTATCAGAACAAGCCGCTGACGCTCACAAATGCCCACATGAGACACACTTTCGAGAGGAGTGTTTTCAGCAGGCTGACTCTCTCCGGGCACCGGGACCATCGCGGGCTGATAAGGCTTCCTGTGCACAGACAGGAAAGCATGGTCTCAGCCCAGGCGACACCCCAGTGCCACGCCTGTGCCTTCACCACCAGGGACAGCACATTAAAAGCGAAAGGTAAGACACGGGCTTTGATAATACGAGCAGCCAAACGCCTTTCATGCAGTAATCAAAGAAAATGTCCCTAGACTCCGCCTCTCCCAACATTTTTACCATGAACTTCAGAAGGAACACCTGAAGGAGGAAAGCAGGGCGAGGTCACTTCCTAAGTTCTCAGAGCTGCACCAGCGCAAAGCACCCACAGCTCCTCTACTGAGAGAAGCCATGTTGGAACCTGTAGAAGTATTTCACTTTTGTTTTTCTCTTTCGGGCTGATATTTGCATGCACAAATCTGGGAAATCCATGGTGAAGGGGGTTGGCTGAAGCTCTGATTGTGACATGATTATGAATCTTGCACAGCTGTCCTGGGTGTCCCCCTTCCCCACCCTTCTAGCCCAGTACAGGGACCTGCCAAGTGTTGGCATCCACAGCCTTCCTGTGGAAAGTCCTCTCTGACTCTGCTCTCCCCAGGCAGCACGGGGGTGCCTGCCCCAGCTCTCCCCGAGGCCACACAGGCTGCTCAGGGCTCTGTCCTGCCAGGAGAACGGCAGTTCCTGAAATGAGGGTCCCTGCACCACCCACTGTTTCACCTCTAACACAGCCAGTGTTCGGCTACGTAGCCAGGCCTAGCAGTAGTGGTCAGTGACAAAATCTCTGTGTTTTAAATATTTCCTAAGAGTCATTTCATTGCCATTTATTGCCATTGGTCATTTACTCTGTATAATATAAGTATTAGGCATACACGTGTATCTATGCAGAAAGAGACGCAAAATGTTACTCACCACCAAGGCATTGTTGGACTAGTCAACATTTCCACAGACTTGAAAGTTTTCAAAGTGCAAGCGAGGCAAAGCACAGGCATCCCCTCAATACCATCACCATATTTATAAAGAACAGGTTTATGGTCTAAAAGCACATTCACTGCCCAGGAAGTCCCTTCACCACCCCGGTGAGGGTGGGGGTGGGGCAGCATTCCCCGTTGCAAATGAGAAAAGCCTTGGGGTGGGGTGAGCAATCCCTCCCTGCCAGAGCCCCTCAGTGACAGGTGGCACTTACAGAAAGATCTTCAACTTCTGAGCCCAAAGGTCTTTTCACGACACCAACCCACCTCCTGATTCAATAAACTTTAGGTGTTATTTTATGTTCCTTCCTCTCCCCCAAAATGTTCAAGTCCCAGCTGCTAGTGGCTGTGAACATGACCTTAGAAAAAGGGTCTGTGCAGAGGGGTCAGGACGAGGCCACACTGAAGCTGGACCCTAAGTGCAATGACTGGGAGAACAGGGGAGATGCAGGAGCACAGCTGACACACAAGGGAGAGGCCGGGGGACTGCGGGTGCTGAGGCCGCGGGCCAGGGACTGGCTGTGACTGGACAGCAGCACAAGCTCCTTCAGAACATCCACAGGAGAACGTGCCTGCCCTGTCCTCATCTTGACCTTGGACCTCCAGCCTCCAGAACTGTGAGAAACAGCCAGCCCCAGGAAGCTGGCACGGGGCTATGGGCACAGGAGACCCTCACAGAACGGTAGGTGTGAGAAGAGCTTGTAAGTCACCCGTTCGGCTGCCGTGTCCCCCCACCCTGTACAGAGGGGCGGGGAAATGACAAACATTTTAAAAGATATTCTCCCTGCCCCAATTTTAGAGTTTTCCCGATAATCACTCTTGTTGCCTCTGTGTATTTTGAAGTGTGACCACAATGACATAAACTGGCAAATGAGATCGTAACACTTACTTGCTCGTGGCCCCCCAGATACGGGTCGTCTTCTGCCATTCTGGAGCTGCACATCAAAACAAAACAAAGCAAAACTGTTAAGACTGGCATGAAGCTTAAAAACGCCGTAATGCAGGGTACACGGGGATACTCCCCGGGGTGAACATGACCCCGCGTCAGAGACGAAGGGGTCAGTCAGGGTGTTGCTCCTCTAGAATCTACACCCAACGGCAGGAAGATCACATGATCACGGAATCACATTTCTCGCAAGCGCCTGAGTCCCAGAGCTCAGGACAACGGACCATTTTCTGGACAAAGCCACATACATCCGGATCGCTGAGGCTTCCTTCCATCACCTCTGGACGTCCGGGGTTAAGAACCTCAGCTTTTCGCGGGCAGCGCCGCCCGGCCTGTCTGGGCCCACCTGGAGCTGCTTCCGGGCTCTCCACTGGTGACTCCAGCTGAGCGGCCAAGGGGGCCATTCTGGCGGGAAGGACCGGCCCCCTCTGCACGACTGGGGAGAACGCTGACGCGCTCTGCCCTCCGGCACCTCTGGCCATTTCTCCAGGGTCAGAGTGGCACAGAAACACTGCAGCGTCTCCATACGTGGGAGCTCGCGCTATCAGGCTGCGGCATCAGATTTAATCAGCCCCAGTCAGAGCAAGGCCTGCGGCTAGCGCGCTGCCTTCCAGGGGCCCGGGAGAGCCAAGCCCCACAGGCCAGAGAAAAACAGTATCTAAGTCACAGATCATTTTGGATTTCCTTGAGAAACATCCTTACTCTTTTAAATAAGGGTTAATTTTATTTAAATTTACTTAAACGGTAGATACAGCACATTAAAAACTAGAAGACTGGAAAAAAGGAACAAGGCTGACAGTGAACATTAACTCCTGAGCCACCCCTCTCTTTCCTTTGCCCCAGTGAGCTAGTACACAGTGCTGGGGCTCTTCTGGCGGCTGGGAAGAGCCCGCGGGCGCCTTTTCAACAGGCTGGGCGCACCTTGGGGCCACTGTCACCGCGCTGCTCTTCAAGGTGACACGCTGGTTGTGGCCACCGGCTCCCCTGGTTCCCCCTTCGTGGTCTTTCTCCAGCAGCGTGTGTGCCCCCGTCACAGCTCTGGTCGCACTGAACACAGCTGTGCACGTGGTGAACACAGCTGCGCCTTAGCAGGCGCAGGGCAGGGCGTACACAGTCCTCCGGGTACTAGGGAAACGGGGCCCCGTATGACTTCGAGGCAAAGTTGGCCTTTTCTTGGCAGTTGGGGCCCGGCCTGGAGAGGCACAGCGGCCCCCAAGAGGACTCTCTCCCACCTAGCCCTAGTGGGACGGGCGTAGGGGGAAGTGAGTGGGGATCCCAGTGGGGTGCAGACTCACAGCCAACGTCCACCCAAGGGCAAAGGGCAGCTTGGAAACGCCCGAGACAGGGGTACATGCAGATCTGCAAGGAGTGCTCTGTCTGACTTAAGAATCAGCAGGCTGCAGCCCAACCAGCCACGTGGCCAATCAGGACCAACAGCAAAGAAAGGGAAGGCTGACCTGGCACAGTACGGGGAACCGAGTCGCTTGAAGTCCAAGCCTCTCACGCTGGGCATGTGACCATGGGCTCCCCACTGAGCTCACCGTGGCCTGTCTCTCCGGCTGCAAAACGGGAGGCTTGGATGGGTGGCACCCGACAACAGAGACTCGCTGCGCTAAGAGCACTAGCTGGCTAACAGGCCTCCCCTCTGGAACACTCCAGTCCTGACAGGGTTTTCTGCAACCTGGGTTTCTGTCTGCGCACAGGCATATGTCTATGTTAAAGAATCACTAGTGTGATTTTCAGTTGTCTGTACAAACCTAGTAAAATAGTGTCATAATGAATACAGTGCTAGTACACCTTACGTGAAAAAACCTTGTTCTTAGAACCACACAGGAAACCAAACTTCCAAGAAAGTATCAGGGTCAACCTTTTCCTTCAGGCTTCCCATTCATCTGCGTGACCCCGCGTCTTTCCCGGCATGCTCGCCCACAGCCCTCAGAGTGAAAGAGGGGCGGCCCGCACCTCTCAGCTGCTGTTTTCCTGACCTTTTCCTGACCTGCGCATGGTTTCCTGACCTTTGAAAGTATGGACTGAACACAAAGTCGCCCTAACCCTAATTTTAAAACAAGTAATTCATCAGAACTGAGCAGGGCTATCATCACCATCACTATAGTAACGAAAATCCTGAGGGAGTCACTAAATCGTCAGCACTGGACAGGCCTCCCCATTAACTGCGCCCGACATCCTGCCACAGGCATGCGGGTGACAGGCAGCATCTGAGCCTTGCAGCCTTTGCGAGACTGCTAAGTTCACCATGAGCTCCGGTGCCCGGGTGATGTCAACGTCAATTCATAATGTAGGACTAAAATGTCAAAAGAAACCAAAAATTAGTTGGAAAGGATGAATCACTGAGTCCAGTGACATTTGCATTAATTGTCAATGCAGGTTTTAGTTCATGATTTTGAAAGATCAGAGAAGCCTCTGGAACTGAAGGACCAGGAGGGCCAGGGAAATCCCCATCTGGCCCCCTGGCCCTGGCCCTCCCCCACTTTCCCTTCCAACAGCTATGTGCTTTTGAGGAAGGACCCCGAGAAGGAAAGGGAAACCTGACCTGACTGCGAGCTGCCCCATCTCTGCCTCCTCCCTGCTCTGGCCGTCCACGCCTCGCCGTGGAAGGACAAGCAGAAAGCGCAGCCAGCCTGTCTTCCTGCGGCAGTCGCATCTGTCATCCGAGGCGCCTCGGGGTGGCAGCTGGGCTCTGGGCGTGTGATGATCCACACGAGAGGCCTGATGGTTCTGCCCCACACGCCCGGACCAGCCCTCTTGGATCCCAGAGCCCACCCCACAGAGTAACCATCGGGGACTGGGCATTTCAAATGCAGTGAAATGATTTCATGGCCTGTAAGAGGGTCACAAGGTGCAAAAGGAGAAACAGAATTTTTGGAGGCGCCCAGAGGTGCAGTGTGGAATCAGAGATAAAGTGTCTCTATTGTCAAGTCTGTGTTCAGCCCAACAGCCCCCACTGAGGGGTGGTTCAACGCTCAGCGCAGGCAGGCGGTGATGAGGAGGAGGGGCCGAGACAACGCCTCATCAGCACTGCTCAGGGGACAGCCCCGTGGAGAGTAGCCCCAGAGCTTCTTCCCCTGGTGGAGCTGGGGTGGGGTGAGAGGCAGGCACGTGGGCCATGGACAATGTGAGCGTCTTTCCTCTGCAGTTTCACGTCCACAAATCTACACTGGGGAGCGGTGCAGGCCGGGTTACAGGAAACAGGCACGGGGCACTCACACAGTCCACCCAGCTGCCCTCCGCCGGGGGCGTTTACCTGTGATTGTGCCACATTCACGGCGACACTCACGGGGCCTAGAAATAATTGTTTGGGATGTGTACACAGTAACATGGAAACTTTTGCTCCCTACACTGTACATTTTTAATGCTTTAATCTTATAACATGAGTATGTCGCTGGAAATAAACATTTTAATGGGAACAAGAGAAAGCCCCATCCTGAATTTAAAGTTTAACTGGGACAACTTGAACAATTAATGACACATGGTGAGCAAGACAGGAAGCACCAATGAGTCAAAACTTTCTGAGCACTGCTGGAATCCTCAGAATAAAGATGATAGAAAAAATTTACATCTCGCTGATGATTTATCGGCTGGGTGATGAAGAGAGATTGATGGGGGTGGACTTCGTGGCTTTTCTCAGAGCAGCTGGCTTTCAAGTACTTTTAAAGGAGCAGTGTTCGCTCTGCCCCACTGGTCCTGTGTAACCCACCCCACCCACCCACGTGCGTGCCCGCTGTGCCATCTGCAGCATGCCCAGGGAGCAGGCGCGGCTTCCTCGTGAGTGCCTAGTCCCAGCTCAGAGCGCAGGCCAGCCTGCCAGGCCTGCAGATACGTGCTCAGTGACAGCCCAGGACGCTGCCCAGTACGGCCCGTGGCGGCCCAAGCAGCAGGCTGGGATGAGCCGTGGAAGGACACCATGTTAGGCATTCTGAGAATACCAAATCCTTTTCTTTCTTCCCCAACCTCCCTCTGCAGGCACACGCCTCCTCCACTCCCTACCTTCACCTCCTGGGGATGTTAGTCTTCTGCTTCTGGGGGCACCCGGTAATGTCTGCAGACATTGCCTGTTGTCACGACTGGGTTCCCAGCGTAGGTTAGAGATGCTGCCAGCCATCTCATCCACGATGCACAGGCCAGCACACCCCCATCAGGGAGGACCCAGATGCCAACAAGGCCCAGGGCCCCCGCTGTCACACCACGGCTAATACTGTCACACCAAGGCTCCATTTTGGCCCACGGGGAGAAAGATGTGCTTTCCCTGAAGCCTCCTGAGTCAGGCTACTGCTTGTGTGGCACAGAATTCCGTTAACCTGAGCGGCCCTGAGGAGCCAGTCCCAGAGAGGACTGAGGGGTGAGTGTGCAGCTCACTGCTCTGGCGAGCATAGCCCAGCCAAGCAGAGCTTCTCCTGGACCAGCAAGGCATGCACCTGTCTCAGCCCTTGGCTCCTGGTGGAGCAGAGCCTGAGCCAAGAGCAGTCTCACGAAGTCCAGGGACTTCTCGCACAAGCAAATGTGGAGCGGAAACACCACCACTAACCCAACAGCACAGAGCATTTTTTTTTGAAATATCTCCTTTGGTAAATTTCAAAGGCTGGAAGAGAAATAAGGAGAGTTCTCTGAGACCAGGCACAGGCAGCATGGCAGAGCTCACTGGTGGTATGACCAAAGCACGCGCGCACATAAGCTCAGGTACACTGGAAAGCTCCTCGACACTCTCCTTCTTCCATGAATTCATTCATTAAAAGCTGCAGCTACTGTGTCAGCTCCCAAAGACCCAACCCTCACCGGAACCAGGTCCATGTGCTCAGGGCTTGGTTGGTGGAACGAAAACAATGGCCGAAATTCTTTGCAGCTGCACCCAGCAAGGCTCAATCTATCCCCACCCTCTAGCCTTGGCGGCCGTGACCAAGATCATGGGACAGAGTGTGCGCTTCAGCCGTGCACTGCTGGAAGACATGCCACCACTGCCTGCTCTCCGGGAGCATGGCTGTCCAGAGTACGCTGGGGCTGGCCCAGCAGGCTGGGAGCCCGAGGACAGAGGTGGGCTCGCCGCTCCAGACCCCATCACCAGCTCAGCGGCAGCAGGCCCAGCCAGCCCAGCTGTGCAAGCCCACCCGAGTGGGAGAAAGGACACCCGCTGTGTGCTAGCCAGATGTGGTGACCGGTTCATCCGGCAGAAAGCTAAATGCAGCATCAGGGAGTGGAAGGACAACTAGGCCAAAGTAGACAATCCGTGTCAGGAGGGGAGGCCTGCTGCCAGGGCAGGCATCTTGGTACAGAAATTACACAGTGTTAGGGTCCCACCGGACCCCTTTTCTACTCATTTTTACTCTCCAGGATACTTAGTGCCCAAGGAAACACAGGGAACAAGCACGTCAGCCAATAGCCCTGTGTGCAGACAGAAGTACAACCCGCACTGCTACCACTCTCAAGGTGGGAACACGCCGCTGCCCTGGCTTTGAGCAGTAGGGCCACTATGATCAGCCAGCCATGCTGTCACCCCGCCACCTCGCTACTGTTCCGAGCCCAGTCCCCGTCCCATGTGTGGGCCACGCCTGGCCTCCCAGCTGCTGCCAGTATCGTCCACCCAAGCACATAGCTCAGATGCCCGCTCACCTTTTCCTCCTTGCCCCATCCTTATTCTCACACGTCCAGTCAATAACCCATTCCCGCTGGGCTTGTCTTCGCACTGTTTCTCGTATCTACCTCTGTTCTCCATGCCACTGCCATAGCCTAGTTAGGCCCTCATGTCCCTCTGAGAGACAGCGCCTACCTGGTGCGCTCTCTCACTCCTGCTTCATCCTCCTCAGCACTGGGCACTCCATTGCCACGTTACTGAAAAGTGCCAAGACCTCAGCCACTCAGCACATCACATGGACACCCCCGTGCACCGCTAGGTCCTGCCCAGGCCCCCCACAACGCCTGCTCCTGTCCCTGTGCACATGTTCACTGCACACATCCTAAAAGGCTGACCTTCCAACACATACACCCCCTCTCCTCAAGCTCTTCTCAGACCTGACCCCTGCCAAGACACCCTCTGTATTTGCCAACTGAAGTGGCTATAAGTGTCTAAAATATACTGAAGTGTACAACCTTCTCTGCATCACCAAATTAGTGGACACTAAGTGCTTTTTGTTATTATTACATTGATGAAAAATAGCTTTGCAATTTCAGATCTGTCCAAATGTGGACTCTGGTTTCAGTCATGCCAGAGTATGGCCCCGTCCCCCACTCAACTGTAGAATTATACACAAAATACTTGAAGCAGTAATTTAAGACGCTGGATAACACAGCATAGGGTTGTCCACCACAGGAGGGTGGACACTAAGGTCAGCTCTTGCCCACCCTCATCTTCCAAACCACGACGCACAAGGAAGCAAACCCCAACAGAGAGCAGCGACCTCGCTGGCGAGACTCGGGAACCTGCATGGGGTCACCTCTGGCCACCGCCCGAGCACCGGAAGGTCTACCAGGAAACAGCCACAGGAGGCCCCAGCCATCATCAGGGCCCAATTGTCCAAGGGAAGACCTCCCTGAACAATCCGACCAGTGAGCGGTGACCCTAGCAGACCCTGCAAGAGGAGTAAAGGGACACAGCCTGGAATAAGGACGACTAGCAACCATCTTAACCAAGTCAGGTGAGCTACCAATATATTCATTGTCTGTGATGACAAAGTTCAATACTCTTCACAGGAAGACAAAAATCCAAACTCTCTACAATATAATATCAACAATATACAACAAAAAATGATGAAACATGCAAAGAAGTAGGAAAATGTGATACAGAAGAAAAAAATGATAGGAATGATGGAATTAGCAACAAATAGCTATAAAACCACTAAGAGCAACATGCTCAAAAATGTAAAAGAAAAGATGGACATAATTAGTGAACAGAAAGGGAATCTCAGCAGAGAAATCTAAACTATTAAAAAAGAGAATAGCCACTGGAAAGTCTAGATTTAAATAAAATTTTCCTATGTGGACTTATCAGCATACTGAACATTGTAGAAAAAAAGATCCATAAACTTCACGGTAGGCTGAAGGACATATATCGTAACCCTCAGAGAAACCACTTGTAAAACCAGCCAATGAAGGAGATGAACTGGATTTAAAGAAAGAAACCTGAATGGCTGAAAGATGATAGAGAGGAGAAAAAGATAAAGTCAGATGGCACAGATAGATAGGCCGACCCTGAGGGTAGATTCGATGCAAGCGATCACCAATCACATCACACGGAAATGTACTGACTCGTCACTTTATAAACTGACCAGCTCTGAAAGTGGAAATGGGTCAGAATGGACAAAAACCAAGACCCAAGTATATGCTTTCCTTAACAGTTACACTTTAAAATTAAAAGACTCAGTTTAAAACTAAAAGGATGGAAAGTTAAGCCAGTTGATACCATGGAAATACCCAATATGAAAAAATAGGCTATCTCAAAATATCTGATAGAATGAATTCCAGGAGGAGGAAAATCACCAGCAATAAAGAGATACATTTCATAAGAATAAATGCATCAGATCATTGCAGAGAAATCATGATTTTAATGTGTATATATGTATTAAGCGTTCAGAACACATGAAGCAAAAAAATAGCAGAACTAGAAGAACAGAGAAGTCCACAATTACAGTTAATGTTTGTAACACCCCTCTGTCAGTAACTGATAAAGGCAAATCAAAAGAACAGCAGTAAGGAAGAAACTTTAAAAACTTAGGAACGTCTGAAAATTAAGTGGTCTCACCTAGACATAGGTGTGCTCTGTGTGTGTAAGAGCACCTGAAAACTTCGGGAGACACCATCAAGCAAGGACCCCAGCGTGGTGCAGAACGCACCCCCGGAGACCACAGACACATGCTCTCTGCACGTGAACGCAAACCACTCACCAAGACAGACTATGTTGCAACCCAAACAAAGCTCAATAAATCTCAAAGAAGTGAAAGCACAGAGTATGGACCTAAACACCATAAAAAGAGGGAAGGCAGTGACAGAGGATTTTATAGAAAGCTATAAAATGTACATCATTAAGCCAAGATGTTATGGCGGGGGTAGTGCCTCTTAGAACCAATCACACCGTGAACGTGACCCCTCTGCTGTAAGGAAGCATGCATTCCTGCTGTATCAAGTCGCTTATAACCGTGGGGGACAGGGGCTTCGCAGACAAGTGACTTGGGTGCATTCCAATGTTCTCACAGAGAAACAGATCTTTGCCTGTGGTTGTTTTCTTAATTATAGGTGACTGAAATTGATGGGATCAAAAAGATGTTTTGGATATTTTCTAATCATATTATAATTGTCATGCACTTGAACGGCAAATTCCACTCTAAAATTTCCTTCTGTTAACACTACAGTAGGATGAGTCCAGTGACCCTGTTTATGGAGTCAGAGCAACACTCTGAAGATGACAGTGATGCGGGAGGCCTTGGATGTAGCTGCCTTCTGCTTCCACGCAGACCAACTCAGCACCCCGCTGAGTCAAGGGCTGTCCTCAGGCAGCATGAGAGAGGGACTGGACTTACTGGGCTTTCTTCTGAACTGTCTGCTTCCACAATTCTAGTTCTACAGATTTCTTCTTCCCTAAAAACAGAGTGTGGGAGGGATGAGAGGAGGGACGAACAGATGGAGCACAGAGACTTCAGGGCAGAGAAAGGACTCTTAGGAGC